TATTTATTAGTTTTTATCATTATTCTTATTTAGTTTATTTATTATTTTACTTTTCTCTAGTTTGATCAGCGTAATTTATTGTATTTTATAAAGAAAAAAAAATTAAAAATGTATACAGTTGATGGCGAGCAAGCAGTGTTGAACTTTTGAGTCTTTTCAGTTCAAAGTAAACCCAAATCGATTTTTTATGAAAATCGGCATCAGTATTATTTTATGCCTAAATACACCTAAGGGATCTGATGATATATATGTATATTTTTTAAACCTAAACAATAAAAAAAAAATTAGTCTGAAACTTGCCTTTTTTCAGGCCTTCTTTCTTTAACAAAATACTCTTCAAAAGCTTTTTTAATTGTTTTATTCAAATGAATCATTAAAAATAAGTTTCTTTAATTGTACCATTATTGTAAACAAAAATTTAATTTATCATAATAAATTTTTTATAAGTTAATTTTATAATTTGTTATTTATAATTCCCCCGAATCATATACAATTTTTTTCTCCGAGCCGAATCCCAGTCAACATTTTTTCGATCAAAACAGACCTTGAAGTTTAATTCGTTTCAAAAGCTGTCTTATTTAAGTTTGGATGTCTTTTTAATTATTATCTAAATAATTAGTGATTTTCGGAAATGTGATTTTTTTTAAATATTGTTTTTTATATTACGATTACCATAGAAAAAATATTTTTTCGCGGTTCCTGAAAATTTCTAAGTGATGATTTAGTTTTAATTTCGTAATAAAAGACTCATTTCATTCATACTTGGAAAGAAAGAAACCTAACATTTTAAAAACCGGTTATTTTTACCTAAATAAGAGGAAACATTGATAAAATAAAGCAACAGTTAAAAAATAACCTATTGTTGATTAGCGAACCATCTATAACAGGATATATATTAGCGCTAGATTATTATTCAGTGAACAAAATTATTTAAAGCACGTATTATTGAGACGATAAAGTGAAACCAGACACACAGTGAAATCTATATAATAAATCTCACCGGAACAGTCAACAATTAAAACTATCCCACAGCCTTGTTTAATCATCCCACTTCACCTTGTATCGGAGGCTGAGTGTCAATAATGCTTTTATTATATACAGCTTAGAAGGTTATTTTGTAAAATATTCCACATTCCTTTCATAAAAACAGAGCTGAAGGAAACAATAGTAACAGGAGAAAGGATGTATCAAAACCTGTGAACAATGTCTCAACAACAATGGAACATATCGACTGTGGGCAGTAGCGGATTCAGAATTCAATTTTTGGGGAGGGGGAGAGAGGCGGACATATTTTTTTTTATTTAACGATGGAAACTTTGCTTTTAATATAATGGATATAATGTGACACGTGTTTACATTTGACAGCTGAAGTACAAGCATCGTAATTAAAAAAGAGACCATACTGTGATTGATAATGCATTTGGCACAGACCATTCATGGAAAAGAATATGGACCAATGAAAACGAATTATTTTACTTTTTTTGGAGGGTTTAAGTCCATAAGTCTCCTTTTAATTCAGCAGTACCAGTCACTAGCGGATCCATGATTTAATTTTGGGGGGGCTTCAGCCCGAAACCTTTTTTTTTCATAAAAATAACGATAATTACTTTGGAAAAACAAAAAGAAACTAGCTACCTATATGAAATGGTGTTTAATTTACTCCTTAAGTACTTTTAAATGTAATTACACGAACAATAATACTTTAAGAGGTATTTTTTAATTTTTTTCCCCATAAAACATGGTTATATTTTTCCATTTTGGGGGGGCTTCAGCCCGAAAGCCCCTCCCGTTGATCCGCCCGTGGTGCCAGTAGATATAGAAAACCTCGTAACTCCATTTTATTTAAATTTACTAGATTAATTTTAAAATCCCGTTTTTTGTGGTGAGACTTAAATCTGGCAATTAATTTCCGTACTCTCTCCTGGCTCGGGAAGCAGCCGTAACGCTGAAAAGGCGAAGAAGGAGAGAAATAATAAATGAATACCAAGAGAAGCCATGGTGGCCGAGCGTGTTAAAGCGTTGCACTCTTCAAATTTCCTAAAAATAATAATAATAATAATAAAAAATAAAAAAAAACGCCCTTTTCCTAAATTAAATCCTGCTGCTAGACCCGCTACTGCTCTGCATTAGCAAATAGACATTGGGAGGAAAATAGCTTCTGTCAATTCCTCAAAATAGTTCCCTAAGATTAACGTTGAATGATAACCGTGAAAGTCGCACCAAGGATAACCTAACTTTAAAAATATTCACATAAAAACAAAATCAAGCAAACCGTTTTCCGGCTAACACAATGAAGTACTTTGTAGTCATATTTGTTCTTTTTTTCCTGATTCATAATTTTTAAATTAATGTTAAATTATTAAGAACAAAACTCGTTGACATTTTCCTTGATCAAATTTTTTTGAAGATGCTTTTCCCATTAAATTTAGTTTTTTAAATAATTTAGTCATAATCACAATAGATATGTATATTATTATTAAGAGAATAAATTTACTTTACCAAATAGTTACATGAAAGATCTTTTTTTTTTTTTTACATTATTAAATAATATTTTTCAAATTACTTTTGTTGGAGCAGGGGAGAGAAAAAAATGTCTTGTCTTCCAAACCAAAGTAATTTCTTTATTATACTATTACCAATTATAAAGCATATATTACGAGAATATTAATAAATTATAAATAAAATATATTTATATTATACTATCCTTTCATATGATTACAGAAAGTATGACATGCGAACATATATACACGCAAATATTTATAAAACCTCTTTAACAAAGATTATTGTTAACATATAAGACATATAGTTGATTGATTGTATTTATAATTTAAAATTTGTTCTTTAGTCAGCACATGTTCTTTATTTGTCGAATGCTATTTGATGTTTGAACTGAATATCAAAGTAGAAACTTGAAAGCTTTACATAAAATGTTCAAATTAACAGCAGCCTTCGAATGCTTAATCATTGATTAGTTAATTTATAAAACGAATTTATGAATCAAGATCAGTGAAACAATTGATGTTTGATTATTATATTTTAGTCAAAAGTATAACTAATATTAGATTTCATAAACATTTTTAACAACTGTTTAATTCCTTCAAGGCCGAATCAGGCAATTGAAAGCATCCCACATACGATTCGAGAAGTATGTATTCGAATACAATTAACTGATCCAACAAAATCGAAACACAGATTGAAAGACTATCAGTAAAATAAATTTTTAAAAAAAGTGTTAAAATTTAGATTTTTTTAAATATTTGAACAACCTTACAATTGTTTTATGTTAACAAAATGCATTTTTTTACTTATATTAATTTTTTAATTTGGTCAATTCGTCACCGTAAAATATTTTTCAATAAGACAATCGTCTCATAATATCGATTATTATATTGTTTAAATATTTGTTTGTTTGCTGATGAAAATATATCCGGCTTGGAAAGTACAGTTTGTCGGAGGTATTTTAAAATGTGACTCAAAGTAATGACCTTTAACTGATAACGAAGTTGGCGAGGACGATGTCTTCCTGTACTTAATCGAACGTTTATCACTTTTTAACGATGTAAACTTACAAAATAAAAGTTTTAAGAATTGTATTTTACCTATTAGGAATTTTAATTTAAGATAAATAAACAGCTTAATGATTAAATGCACAGGTTAAAATGAATTGACATTCTTATTTTAGTTCAAAGCATAACTACTTACTTACCATGCAATTAGATGTACATTTATGTTTTAGTGCAAATACATTCATAAAATATTACTTTAGCGTTGTTCTATCAGATTTATGAAAAGAATTGATCTGATTAAATCTATTTATAAAATATTACTTTAAAAAAATTAACCACTTTTTTGGACATGGAATTAAGTTAGTCTTGTAGATTAATGAAAATGAGTTTAGAAAAGTCTTCATTTAATTTTCTTTTATAAAGTGTATGGATTAATGTAATTATTAGATTATTTTCTAGAAAAAAAATCCCTTTATGGGCTCCCATCTAGGGCAAGGGTACTAGATCCATGGTTTCGGGGGCTCGAAGGTTCAAGAGTCCGGTTAAAATATTATAATTTTATAATTAAAGCTTTATAGGTTGTTAAAACTTGAAATATTTTTAAAATATCATTAGGTATGTCGTATACAGTACTTCAGATATATCTATATGCATCGAATGAGAGAGAGGCCGGCCAGGGTTTGATTTAAGTATGTAGGTCCTGTCAGGCAATTCAGGTTGATTGCTGAATTACATTATTTATAATATTTTAATTCAGTCCAAACGCATAGGACTTATAATTTATAATCGGATAAAAATGGTGAAAGCACTTAGTATTTGGTAAAAAAATGTCCAAATCTAGGGGGGACAACCATCCAAGCAAACTTGATTTATATCTAGAAAAGCTCTTCAGTGAAATTTAGTAGTAGATCTTTCAACAAACATTCTTAGAATGGTAAAATGTTTTCTTAAACATAATGGATTTATCAGATTTTGTTTTTCAACGTCTATACATGGCAGCTTAGCAAGCATTAAGATAAATTATTCAATTCTAAGTATAACGGGAAAAAATTATAGCTGGAACTAAGGTTAAAAAGGCAATCAGTACGTCGGCTTAAACTAATTTAAGTAAACTTAAATATTATATAATTTGTTGAATTTCTATGCTAACAAATCGGTGAAATGGTGACGGTCATTCCTTTCAAACTGGAACTGATAAGAAGCAATGAGAAGAAAAGCTTCATGTCAAAAAATACTTTAATTTAAAGTATAAAGGCAATAATATTCAATTTTATAAACTAATATTGTTCTAGCTGATAGCAGGGTGTTGCTAACAATTGTTTAAATTAGGATACAGAATGATAGGAAGGAGCCTGTTACTTCTCTCAACTTTAAATTCCAGCGGTTTGTGATTCAGTGGTTAACTTAATAAGGTCCCTTTTCGAAAAACAGAATATAATACTTAATTACAATTATAAAACAGCAAAAGCAATCTCTTGAGGAATTAATGTTGGAATTCTTTGACATAATGCCTATATTTACAATGTTGTCAGCTGGAGAGATCGATAGAAAGGAAGCGATATACAGTAAGCTGCGATAGACTGGACTGCTAGCAAGGAATGGTTGACACATATTTTATTGAGAGTTTTGAGTTATGAGAACTCTTATTCTAGATAAACGGAGGTCGCGTTCAGTGAAATTAAAACCATTGCACATTGCCCATGAGTCAACACACAGTTTGAAGAGACGGTTATATGACGTGTGATAATTGTTTTAGGAAAAATAAAGCCTTAAAATGGCTTCTGGTGATAGCGTTGATGAAATTCAAGTTATAGATACATTTAGTAAAATGAAAACTGGAACTAATGCTGAATTTAAAGATAACGAAAGTTACAGAGGTAAGTCTTGCTGTATGTGACAGGTTTCATACCATAAATGCACTTGTAAAGTAGAATGAATGAACACACCCACTATTTGTCAAAGTTGCCAATTTTGATAATACACTCTAAAAAAAGCAAATATTAACTTTTTTTATTAAAGAATGTGTATTTATATTCTTAACTAAGCATGGAATAGTGAAATTTCTGTTAATAATAGAGAGGTGTAACTACTTGTTGGCATACTTACTATGAATTGAGTTTCTTGGCAGAATTTTAAAAGTACACTATTTTTTAATTATGCAACAAGTGATAAAGGGGAGTCTCCTTTATCTTTCACCTGATTAGAAGGACATTTTGTTGTAACAAATTAGTTACCTTATCATGAATATTTCTTTTTGGAGAGTAGCAAAAAAAAGTGGTAATTTTATCATCAAAGTGAAAATATTATTTTGTTTTCTAATGTAAATTGTGCATAATATTTACTATTGTTTTTGTACTGTTTCAGAAGTGGATGAGGATGGAATTGATGATTATGGAAAGAAAGATGTATGTTCCCATTTACTTTTGATTTTTCGTTCTTATTTTATCTATGTTTTACTAAATTTTGATGTCATTAATTTAAGGGTTCGCTATCACGACAGAATGGAGCTATGGCTAGAAATAAGTCAGAAAGAGAAAAGAAACTGGGACACCGGAGGGTAGGGACTGGAGGTGAAGTTACGTACAAGAAGGTGAGTTTATTTTATTTTATTTAAGTAAAACAGTCAATTATTTATGATTCAGTTAATTTCTATTTTAACTATACTTAAATGGTGTGATCAGAATTTTCAATGTAGGATAAGGTCAGTATCATGTACAACCTTCAAGAGACTTGTAAAAGTTGTTTTCTTGATATTTGATTTTTCATTTATTATTATGTAGTTTTTTGGATTTTATAATTCTATAGTTATATAGTTTGGTGTAATTTCTACAGTATTATGTGTACTTAAAGCAATATGAACCATGTTTCTTTATTAAAAATGATAAATTTTTTAGGGTTATCCTAAGTAAATATTAGTAATTTACTAGTAAGTTTTATTCATTCATTTGTAATGATACAAATGAGAATACCCTTAATTGATCTTACCTTTCTATTTTACAGATTCAAACCTCACAAATTATGGGTTCTATACAATTAGGAATACAACATGCAGTAGGAGGCCTTGCATCAAAACCAGAAAGAGACCTTCTTATGCAAGATTTTATGACCGTGGAAACTACAACTTTCGCTGCTGATGGCAGCAGTCTTACCCCTGCTCATCATTATTCTGAATTTACCTTTAAGACTTATGCTCCTATCGCTTTTCGTTATTTTAGAGATCTTTTTGGAATTCAACCCGACGATTTCCTCGTAAGTTTAAAAATTTCATGTATTTACTAAATCCTAATGTAACTAAACAAAAAATATTTGATTAATTGATTATTGTTTTATTATAACAATAACAATTCAATAAAAAATAAGATATGTAAATAATAAAAATACTTTTTATATAGTAATATTGTTTATTAAATCTACAATGTGCCTAGTGCTTTTCGTAGCTGACAAGATACATTATATTTTTCTATGTCACTTTTATCAAGTAAACTCTTCCAAAAGGTGACTCACTGTAGTTTCCTAGTTCATAACTGATACATTTGCATGTCTAGATTGTTTTATTCTTAAATCATTTTATAATTTTACTTTTATGTATTGAGAAATATGTATAAAAATAAAGATAATTTGTATTATGCCGAAGAAAGATTCAAACAAATTGCTAAAGAACACCTATAAACACCTCGACTGCAACCTGATTCTGTCAAAATGGACTCCGTTTGCTCCTGTATTTTTTAAAAACTTTTTAATACGTATTTGGTTTTGGTTCTAAGTAAAAATATTCAAAAATCTTTTGTGAAGTAATAACAAGAAATTCACTCTATTAATTAGTGCCGTATCTAGTATGGTCTTGATTCAGATAATTGAAATAAGGCTCTTGAGATAATTGGGTTTTAAATATTTAAAGTAAACATATAGTCTTTAAATTTATAAAAAGAAAATAATAATAATATTTACGTACTGAAAAAAAAGTGACATTTAGATATAACACAAAAAATATCAGCACACTGCGGAGTTGTGTGTTAATGGAAAGCAGCTGATAAATAGAGGGAGAAATACTTTATTTTCATATAAAATATAAAAGGTTGCTGCCCAATTATATTGGGTTGCTATATACACAACATACTCGTTAATCCGTAGGACAATAAATAAACTTATACATAAATATATAATATAACTGAATAACCTAAATAATTTTTTTGAAAAATTCAAATGGCCATACTTTACATAACATAAAATAGTACATGTTGAAAGAAAGAAAACAAATATGAACTAAAGATTTCTAAAAAAAGGATGATTGAATATAAAATAGTAATACATATAAAAACCTTTAGCTTGACAAAAGGATTATTTAGTTTTTTTTTAATTTCTGTTTAATCCCTTCCTGACCCTTTCTGCGGTTATAATCAACCTATTCTAAAGAGAATCGAGATTAATTCTGTGGTTTAATGATGTAAACTAACATTGCTAATCTGAAGAGGTCTTGGTGCATATTGTAAGGGGAACATGGATGGTCAGAAGGGCCTATTGAATTAGAAATCATGTAAGCTACATGCGCTGTGAATCCTGCGCGCAGAGTTGGAGACTAAATTTGAAATATTTTAATTTACAACTATATTGCATTAAAATACAAGATAAAATTATTATATTATATCTTTCTGTTATTGTCTAAATTATTTGCAACCTTTTTCAAATAATCCTTATTTTCAATTATTTCTCAAAAAATTATACAATGTCTGACGTACCCCAACAAGGTATGAGTGAAATAAAATCTAGTTTATCGTTGTATAGGTTCTTAAACGTCTACTAGTTAGTATAGAATTATGTGTGCTATGGTTTCATGTTACATTTTAGGGTGCATCAGACATTTCATAAACTATGGGACAAATAAATATATAAATGGTTATTTCACTGTGTTAGTATTATTCTTTCTTGTTTTTGATATTTTCAATCTGCTGTCGGTGTCAAGAGAAATAAAATAAATAGTTAAGTTTAGCAATAACGTTGCTAGGTGTTTCCCACAGCTTATGAAATTTCGTAAGCACCTTCAGATAGCCTGGAGTCATTGAGTTTTGTCTATTAAGCAATGTATTTTATAAGTCGAAAACATTTTTTGTCAAAAAAATTGTTTGCACTGTTTTATATTATATCAACTGGTAAACATATTAGTAAGTAGTTTATAAACTTTTTTGAATATCATATCATAAAAAAAAAACATATTTGGTTATGAAACAAATATTTTTCTTTAAAAGAAGTGAGTAGATTTATTTTACTCACCTCACCAAAAGTAACATTGACATTTTATAGAAGAAGTAAGTGAACATTTTAGCTATTTTTAAAATTAAAGCTTATTTCATATTTAGTTTAACTATTGTATTAAAAACAATTTTATCAAGAAATAATAGTATTTTCTGTAAAGTATCTTGAGCTCATACCCTTTACTGATAATAATTGTCATTATTTTGCTTGTTTGGAGAAAATCATTGTTTACAATAATCACTTGTTTTTGTTTCAGATTTCTTTTTGTAGTTCCTCTTTACGTGAATTATCAAATCCTGGAGCATCGGGTTCAATATTTTATTTAACCGCTGATGATGAATTCATCATAAAAACTGTTCAGCATAAGGAGGGAGAATTTTTGCAAAAACTACTGCCTGGATATTATATGGTAAATTTTTAAAATTCTGTTCATAACTGTAGAATATTGTTGTAGAAATTATTTTTTAAAAAGTTCTAAGATATCCCAAGAATTGGACCATAAAAATATCTGTTAGATTAAATGATAGTTTTAAAGAAATAGTTTAAAAATAATTACTAGAATTAATTTTGTAATTCGTTATTTTTTTTTTTATTTCAGAATTTGAATCAAAATCCAAGGACGCTGTTACCAAAGTTTTTTGGGCTTTATTGTTATCAGGTATTGATATTATTAAATTATTGTTCTAAAAAAAAAATAATATGACCCATTTTAAATTTATTCAATTAATTTTTGTTCCTTTTTTAGTGCAATCATAAAAACATTAGAATCGTAGCTATGAATAACTTATTGCCTTCCTTAATTCCTATGCACCAAAAATATGATCTGAAAGGTTCAACTTACAAAAGGAAGGTAAGTAATTTAATTATTTATGTTTTTTAATTATCTTCACTATATTTATTAAGTTGATATAGAATAGAATAAAATATTATAAAAACATTTGTTGGTATTAATTAATATGTATTTTAATACTAACAATTAATTCCAATGTACTTAAGTAGTGAAATGAATAGAACGCAGTATTTTTATCGTGAAGAATACAATTTGATTCCTAACTAACTTTGAAAATTTTCTCTAAGAGCCAAGCCTTTTATACATGTAATTTTATAACATTTTCCCCTCAAAAATAAGATTTCAATCTATGTTAAAAAGATACTTATATTTGTATTTAATCTAGATTAATGGTATTTAGGTTCGGATTGGGGTTTTTAAGTCACTTTATGTTTTATTGAATTGCTACATTTATTTTATTTATACTTGTACTAGGAGACCCATTTTCTTCCACCCATTTGCCTTTCAGTATGGGGGTGTTTCTAACCACCGGTGAGTGTTTCCGCCCCTGGCAAGATTTCTCATTTTATTTCAGGTTCTTCTCTTTGTGTCTCCTATTCATTCCAAGTGGGTATAATAGGAGGTTCTGGAACATCCTCTTGGTCTTTTTCTTAACGGTCTCACTTCCATAGTTTTAATTGGGTTCTTGTGCTGGTCTATTCGGCAGAAATGCCCATCCCACCTCAGTTGCCTCTTTTCTCGGGTTTCCGTTAACAGGTGTAATTTCAGTTATTCCCTAATCCTTTCATTCCAAAAACAGTCTCTCCGTGTTTTCCCCACATTTCTCCTAAAGAATTTCATTTTCAAGGCAGTAACGGCTCGGTAGTCTCTCATTCATAATCCAGCTCTCCGCTCCATAAAGAAGTACTGATAGGAAAGGAAGACTGACTTAAATTATTGAAGCTTTACATTCTGTCCCACTTGACTTTTTACGATAACCGAGTTACAGAACTGGTAGTGAACGGAGTTTGTCTTGAAGATTCTGCTTGAGATTCCGGATCTACTTTACCAGATCTAGTGAACACCGTGCTATCAAGGTACGTGAAATCTATCTCTACTTCCATCAACTTTCCACTACAGACAATCTGGACATCTTGAGATCTATCAACTTGGAGGACTTAGCTTTTTTTGGAATCTATAATCATTCCCTTTCAGTTCTTCATTCCACTCTGTTACTGCATGTTGAAGTCGCCCTTGAGATTCGGCAATAAGAATGATATCGTCTGCAAATAGGAGAAATCGTATGACTGCATGGTGTAAGTTCCATCGTTTCCCCATATGCATTCTAGTTGTGCTTCTTTTGCAAATTGAGGCAATCTCATCCATATATACAATGCCATTTATGGATTGTTCTAGATGTGCAACAAAACCTATTCTAACCAGAGTGGAAAGGTGAAGATTCATTCTGTGGATTTGCCATGAAATAAATTTTAACCTGTGCCCATGCTAGATTCAAACCAGCATCATTGAATGAATGTTAAAATTTATGTTCTTACATGCTTGGTCATCACAACCTCTGTAGTGTTAATATCTATCTTAAGCATGTTTAATTATTTATGAGATATATGTATTAAATTTGGAAATTGGGTTCTTATTGGTATCGTAATTCTCATCTATTTTTTCACCATGACAAATATTTTCAAAATGGGAGAGGATCCCTTCTATTTGATTATATTTGGACAATGAAGCACTTAGTGTTAATACTACTTGGCCGAATGAGAACTTAATATCAAATAAGAAATAAATTGATGAATTGGTCAGTTGGAGCTAAATGCTGATCGTATAAGAATATTGTAGTATTGAGAAGCAGTCAAACCTATTAATTCCTGATATAATTATTATTTTAATTTTATATATAATCTCTTATGGTGGTAAATTATTTATTTTTTCAGGCTTCTAAATCTGAGCGAAATAAAAAATCTCCGACGTACAAGGACCTGGACTTTATGGATCATCATCCTGAAGGAATATTTTTAGAAGCTGACACGTATACAGCTTTAGTTAAAACGATTCAAAGAGACTGTAGGGTAAGTTATCGTATTAATTTTTTCATTAAAAAATTAAATATTATCATATATATATATATATATATATATATATATATATGTATATATATTGTAGAAAAGATTTCTTTAAATTTATTCCACTTCTTTTTCAGGTTTTAGAAAGTTTCAAAATCATGGATTACAGTTTATTAGTTGGTGTACATAATCTAGATCAAGAAGCAAAGGAGAGATCTATAAATAATGCAAGTACTTTATATAAATTACATTTTTGTTGTTTCATGCATGAGTGTGGAGGGATGTAAATATTTATTGTATGGATATGTATGCAAATATATATTGTAGTGTTTTTTTTCCGATATTTACTGAAATAAAATTATTTTCAAAATTTGTTTTTAAATAACAATTATTTAATGAATTCAAAGAATTGTATTTTTTCTATTGCAAAATAGTAGTCGGTGATACAACATAGTTTCTGTTTAAATTTGCTGGTTAACAAAGTGAAAGTGTTAACATTTATTTTTACCAAGACCTTACTAAGAAGTCGAGAAAAATTAATTGAACTGTTCATAAAAACAACTTTAAAAGAAAAGGAAAAAATCAAATTGCAATAATAATTGAAACTTATATATAAAACTTAGTATTTTTATTATTAAAAAAAAGTTTTAGTATGACGTAAAAATCTGTAAAGTCTGACTCCATGTTAATATTCAGAACTTAAGTAGTATGTTTTGAATGATTATGATATTTTTTATTTACTATTACGGATCTAAAGTTCTGAATTATCAACTTGTGACACGTGTTACATGAACAATGCAATATCATGGGCGATAAATATTCAGGATGCAGTCATCATAAAGTTTTTATTGGTACCGACGTTTCAACCCAAACATACGGGTCATCATCACGGCGTGTTTTGAGCACTTGAGTACTTGAATGCCTTCAATGCTTGAAACAGGCCCTGATGATGACCCGCATGTTTGGGTTGAAATGTCGGTACCAATAAAAACTTTATGATAACTGCGTCCTGAATATTTATCACCCATGATACGTAGAACAGTTGACTAACTTCCTTCAATAGAATAATACAATACCTCACAATTAATTTTGTTTTCATTTATATTTGTTTTAATAATTTTAAATCAGTTTTTTTTTTTTTTTAACTTTAGGAAATATCAGAACCTGAAGCAGGATTTAGTGACAGAGGACTTCAAAGAGCGCGATCCATTAACAGGCACAAATTAGTAGCTCATTCGACGGCGATGGAGAGCATCCAAGCAGAGAGTCAACCTATAGATCACCAAGGAGATGTGCCGTATGTATACATTTTAAAAACTAAACATATAGTTCATAAGTCAAATTGGTGTTATATCATATTTATTTTATTATAATATTTAACAAAAACTAATTTAAAAAAGGAGACTTTTGGTTTAAGTGCTGTTTTTAAACATATGAAATGAGTACATGGTTAGTTGTCGAATTCATTAAAGGCGGATTGTCAAGAATTCAGATATTTTGTAGATCGTGATTAATTTTTTAAATGTTTGTTTTAATCCTATTATAAGAATCATTTTAATAGAAAAAGCTACTGTAATTAAGCTTTATAACGCTGTGGTTTCTAGTTTTTGTTGTACTTTTGTAAAGCGTGCTTATTAATTTTTGAATGAGGAAAAAAAAACAGTTAAAATAATAAGAGAAAAAAAGAACCTCTATGCAAAATATTAAGACTGCTCTATTTTGTTGTAGTCAATAATTCGGTGCATGAAGAATCAAATCAATTTTATTGTCATTTCCTGAAAAGAAAGCCTTTATGGCGTGAAGGTAAACTAATTGTTATTATGTTTGTTAATTATAAAGTTGTAATAATAATAAAAATAAATAGTATTATTATAAAACAGTAAATTCTATAATTTTTATGTTAGTTGTGTAATCTGTATTCATTATGCTGTCTGATTAAAGAGAAATTATTCACAAAAATGATTGGTTTTTGTCTTCTGATAAAGAGAATGCTAAGTTATCATTTATTGATTTGATGTATGTTTGTTAAAAAAAATTAAATGTTGCTTCCTTTTTCTTTTTTAAAAAATAAAATATATATGAAAATGGATATAACTAATGAGTAGAATCTTTTATCTTATGTAATAGAATCTCTCTTAAATCTTTACTAAGTCTTCTTCTTAATCGATTTCTCTTCTACCATAGATCATTGTAGAGGATCCTGTTTAAAGAGCCTGATCCATTTATCACATTCTTTCACCAGCTGACTGCCCCTTTTCCATTTCATTCCTCTCTTATCGAACTCTTCTTTGACTAAATGTTTCCAAGTTTTTCTTAGACCTTCTTCTTGGCATTCTTTCTTCACCTCTCACTTCGTACATGATTTTAGCCAGTCTTCCCTCCTGCATTCTTTTCATATGACCAAACCAGTGCAGCCTTTTTTCCTCTATTGTAGGGTTATTGGTTCTAACCACATTTATTTTCTTTTATAGACTACGAATGACTCTCATTAGGCCTAGATGGACTTCATGATTGTTCTGTGCTTTATTTATGTCCATCTTTCTGACATCAACGATTGCTTGGGCTAGGTTCACAAAACAGGCATGTACCTCTTTATTCTTTTCCATTTTTTTCAACGGAACCTTTTCTGAGAGCTGTGTCATTTCGAATATTAGATCTTGAGTGCTTTGGTTCGGTCTAAAATTGTATTATTCTTCATCAAGGGTACTCTCAATGAAACCTAGAATTTTCGAGTATAACTTGCAGGGTACACTAAGCAGTGAGATGCCTTTGTTGTTTTCACAGTCCCTGTAGTCTCCTTTTTTATGTATTGGTATGACTTATTGACTTATATCTGAATGACTTATATCTTGTGAACTTCTTTCTTTTTCCATACTAAGCCTTCTTTTAAATTTATTCCTGTTGAAATACTTGGAGATTACTTTCAACATTGTTCAGGCACAATATTATCCCAGTACTTAACTCCAATACTTTCAGAGTCCTATGAAAAAATACAAACTGAATAAGTAAAATTGAAATATTTTAAAATCTTTGAAATTTTGACTCGGAGCCAAACAATTCTTTTAATCTTGATTTATTATTATTACATCGGAAAACATTCGAAGATTGTCACTTTATTTGACCTGCTTAATCTGACAATAACAAAACATCACTCAAACCTTATTTATTTTGTGAATATATACAAACTTAAAGTACTAATCTGTTTTTATTTTCAGTTTAATTTTATATTTGTGAAAGAGTATCGATTCAGTTCGCTTTTCCAGATTAATAGAGAGTGTTCGTATATTTAATTTTTTAAAATATATTCTATGCAACTGCCGTTGATTAAATTGAGCAACAAAAATATTTTACTAAAAAAGAAGTGAAATGAATGACACTTAGCAAATCATTCGCCTGTCAAACCGCTTTAAGGGTTAAAGACTTTGAATTCAAGTTAAAAAAATATGGAAAACTGAAAGAACTGGAAATGGATAAACCAGGTATTTACAATATTATAAAATTACCAGAAAAACACAGCTCAAAAAAACATTACTCGTCCACTGAAATGTGTCCAAGTATAAAAATTAAATTTGGTCCAAATTTTGGCAGTCCTAAATACCTTTGTCAGCTAAATATATGTGATATTGCAAGTGATGTTTTTTGAGCTGCAGTAATTTTATGATATTTTTAAAACCCAGTTCCATAGCCAGTTATTATACATCTTTCATAATATTTTGGGTCCGAATTCAGGAAGTATTTAAATATATAGCATTTTAGTTTTTGTTCCCAAGTTGGATCAGTTTCTGTTTAGAGATGACCTCTCTTAGCAGAATTCAACATGTTTATTTAAGTAATAAGATTTTGAATTATCATTTATATATAACAAAAACGTTATAATTCAAATAATGTTCTTTTCAGACCCGGTGGAATTCCTGCTAGAAACGCCAAGGGGGAAAGACTGTTACTATATCTTGGAATAATAGATATACTGCAGAGTTATAGGTTGAAGAAGAAACTAGAACATACCTGGAAATCGATACTACATGATGGGGTGAGTGAATTTTTTTTTTAGTTCATGTTTATTTTTGATCAGTCTTAGTTTTTATTGGACTTGCTAACCTCATTTATTAATGGTACTCTGAACGGTTATATTGTTTTTTTGTTTATATCCCCAATGGTCCTTATTCATCGATAACGAAAACATTTTTATCTGATGGCTTTCACTATTAGCCTAGAACATATTTAGTTTTATATTACAATTACTTTTAAATCACAATTAATTTAACTTATTTAATTTGATAATTTTAATGCTTTAATTAATCTGGTTTGGCTTCTTTTGAAACAAATTTAACATGACAATTACATTTTTAAGAACCTAATCCCTTGAATTTATTATATATTTTTATTATTTTCATATTTTGTTCCTTCTTTTTAATCTAATATTTTAAAAACATATGCTAGGCATCTTTGGCATTATTTAGCTATTTTTTATATATTATTATTTCAGGATTCTGTGTCTGTGCATCGTCCTGGATTTTATGCACAACGATTTCAAGATTTCATGGCCAAAACTGTTTTTAAAAAAATACCATCCCGTAAGTATTACTTTATTTTCATTTAATTGTCCCCTCTGGCTTATCCCATCTTAAAATTGTCATATTTTAAACATTGGAGCTATACTCTTCATTTCGAATCCATTCATACATCTCATTATCATTGCGTTGTCTCCATTTGTTATTTTCTGTGTAGTTTACTGCTTGAACATGTCTCCCGTTGTTGAGTTAGTTGAATATTTAATGTATGTAACATCGGTGATCGAAATGGGATAAGTGAATTGCTTAGTCACATTTATCCATTCCCTATCATACATAACAGTATTTATTTGTTCATCAAATTGTTTATTATAGTGATGTGCTTTTTTCATTTTTTTTATATATTATTTTTTTTATTCTTTCTTTGTCAATACTTTGGAGATATGTATTGATGTGTTTGAAGAATGTGGTATTTTATGGATTGCAACTTTGCTTTTAATTTTTAATCATATTTACTGTTTGAACCCCATTTTATATTTTGGGTATCCTGATTTTTTAAGTGTTTGATATTTAATGTTAAAGATTCCTTAGCACGACGTTTAAAGTATGTATTTTTACATTATGTTTGCAGTGTCCTGTTAAATCCTGTATTTGCTCTATTATTTTTACAAATGTGTCCTTTATATTACCTTTACTTGTAATCTGGTTATGGCTTGTGGTAAAAAGAGGAACGTTTTTTCAAATGTTGGACTTATACATTATACATTTGTGTTTCTTTGATTATTTATTATTATTATTTCTTTTTTGTTTATTATCATTATATATATATCTTTTTTAGTTGCAGTTCTATTATTTTAAATTGTTTTTTTATTTGTTTAATTTTTTTGCAAGCACCTACAAATAACAATAGTTCTACAAGTAAGCTGTTATCTATGGAGCAACATTTTTTTTTCTTTTTATTGTTGTAGTTTGTTTAATTTGTTCAGTTAATATCACACATTTATTATGATATAATTTGTTTATCTTATTCAGAACTCTTTGCTACCAGCTGTCACATAAATCTGACACAGCTTATCTGAGCCCCCAGTGCCTCGTAGATTTGACAATAAATATTGGCCCATTCTTGTAGATATTAATATACTTTGATCAATTTAAGTTCTCTTACAGTAAAATATATGAATACAAAAGCAAGTCGTTAGACCTTTGGCAATATTACGCGCAATGTAAGGGAAAAAAAAATTAGAAATATGACAGGGCAACTAATTTTGTTTGAAAAAAAAACAGAATTTATTACTCCTTTTTACTAGGAATAGTCATAGATTATGGCGAAACCTGGACAAGAGAACCACAAGATACCCAAAAACCATTAGTTTTAAAGATAGATTTTCTAAGAAGTGTCATCATATATCTAACAATAGGGTGTTTAAAAAGAAAAAAAAAAAAAAATACCATTTTTCAACCAAGTATTTGTATTATTATTTCTTTGATATAAAATACAATTAATTCTCAGAGTATAGTCCATTGTTATCTACCGCCATTAGCCATCTGCTAACAAATTTCTCGATCCTACACTGATGCCATTCTTTGGAATGGCTGTCAAACAACTCTTAGACCACAATTTCAACTTCCGAAAAATTATCAAATTTTTTCCCTTGAAGAAAATGGAACATAGATTTAAATAAGTAGTAATCCAATCGTGTGAGGTGTGGACTATATGGTGGATTAGGCAGGAGTTTTTCAGACAAGAGTTTTTCAATAAATTTTCACAAATTTCTAACCTCTTAGCTAATTGCTGAAGGGTAAGTTCGTGAAGGACCAGTCTACTGCTCTTTTTTACCTTCCCCATAGAGAGTAGATAGCGACTAACAGTATCTTTCGACACACCACACTCCCTGGCAAGTTCGCTAGTACTTGTGGACGGATTTGACCCTATAGCTTCCTGCAGAACTTCATCAATATCCATTAATGGTAACATGGAGCCCTTCTTCCTTTCCAATGTCGTATCTTTACTGCTATATTTTTTAAACCAACACCGTGCAGTATGCTGGTCAAGGACACCTTCCCCTTCATATTTAATAATTTCACAAGTTGCTTCAGCGGCTATGAAATTATTTTTCCAGAAATGCCTTTAAATTACAAGAATCGTTGGGTACTGTCATGTTTATTCTTTGAAACAAATAACTAAACTGATACTTTTTTTGAATAAGTCCAATGGGATTAAACTAGCTTAGAGAATGCTCTAAAGTTATTATTAAGTTGGGTTGTTAAGTATTAAAATATTTACAGTCCTTTAAAATCTTGAATTTGATGAAATGGCCCCTTTAGTACTATTAGAAAACAAGGGCAGGAAAAGAATATTTTATATAAAATTGAAGCCAGTAGGCATTAAAGGTTCGGCCATTTAATGAGAGTGGAAGGTTAATGCTTCCATATATAAGTCAGAATTTATTGATGAGACACATGACCAAGGAAGACAGAGATGAAAGATGTAATGGAGAGGTCTGATGGGATTGACTGCTGGTAGAAAATCTTGGGAATTTGAATACAATAATTCCACAAATTCAAAATAAATAAAATTAATAAATTTATGTATTCTACCATTTGGTTGTCTTTTTTAATTTTTATAACAATTCTATAAATGGTAATGTTAGGCCTCTTGAAAATCCACCCTGCAAGTGTTAACTTGGGTTAAGGATATGCAAGTTGATGGAATGATAATAAATCTCAGCATTGCTTTTGTTCTAAATATTGGAAACATTTTTTGCCTTTCAGTGAATATTATTTGGAGTTTAACAATATATTAGGTCAGATCAGTAAGGTGAGTATTGTAATTTTCTGTCACAATATTTAAGTTACATGTTCTTCACTTGAAAAAAAATTATTTAAGAATATTTTACCTTAGTTCTGTTCATTTACTTGTGGTTAAATATGACATGAGAATAACAAAATTAATTTTACATCTAAAGCTCTGCATTCTATAT